TCAAGTTTCATGATTAAATTTTGTGGAACCTGTTGACAAGAAAAAATTAATTAAAGTCAAGGTTTCATTTTTTTGAGTGCACACACACAAACTAATCATCATAACTGCATCTCTTTGGGCTGAGGGATGAAATTAAAGAACAAAAGTCACAGACTCAGACAAAAAAATCCTATAATTACAGTGTATAGCAGTAGCATGTAAATCTTGGTGCAGTTGGTTTCCACAGGATTTCTTATGTCTTCCGCATAGCTGATTTAGGTTGACAGAGGGAGTCATCCATGTTCTTTGCATAACTGTTCTGCCCTGTGTGTTTCTTCCTGTGCTTAATATACAACTGTAAATTTTTCACAAATGTGTATTTGTAATCCTGAAGAGTAAGTTTTCACTTTGAAATATGGTAAGGGCACAGGAAACAGGAAATGCCTTTTTATACCTCTTTAACTTTAATTAAAACCCAAAAAAGTTTTTGATTCAAATCTCAGGGATGTGTCACTGTTGGAGTTCTAAACATCCATCCATCTTTGGAAACTGTCTGTTCTCTTCAGGGTTGTGGGGAGTCCAGCCCGTTGCAGGGCGCACACACACAACAGTCACTCACACATGTAGTATGGGCAATTTGACAACTCCTATCAGCCTTGGCATGTTTTTGGACCATGGGGGGGACTGGAGTACCCAGAGGAAACCCTATGATGACACAGGGAGAACATCCACACACATGGAACCCTAGCAGAATCTTGAACCCAGGTCTGAGAGGTGTGAGGAAAGTGCTAACCACTGCACCACCATGCCACCCCATTTCTAAGAATCCTGATCGATAAATACAAAATAACTGGATAATTCTGGAAGTGTGTTAATTTACAGGACACAATTTGAAGGGCACATCCCCATATTTATTTGCATTAAATGAAGACAAGAGAATATGCGATCAGCATGCATCATGGGGTAGGCAGTGTCAGACTTGCTTTTATGCTTTGCCTAAGGATTGAGTAAGTACGTGTAATTCTCTCAGCACTGCTTTGTTAAAAGACAAAAGTGTACAGTGTTACCATTAATTTTCCTATGACAACATCACCAAAGATGATGCACCTCCAGTGATATATAAACCCACATGCAGCTGGCCTGGACTAACAGGCAGCAGGTGCTGTCACTCTAGGATAGCTGATAAAAGTGTCAGGTTTATATACCAATGCTGCTGTCATTTGGCTCATTAAACTAAGCAGTTTGTATAGTTTGATATACACTCACCTAAAGGATTATTAGGAACACCATACTGTAGGATCACGCAGGCCCCACAGCCAGTATTTTATGGCCGCTGAGGGAGTGAGTCGGCCATGCTAAGATCTACCTCCGAACCCACACGCAGAGGGGCCCTTCTCCAGGGAAGCTGAAGCCCGCATTCCAATGTTTATGGCCCTCAAACAAAGGACCCAAATAGTGTGGAGAGGGGGGGAAGATCCTGCATACCTCTGGAGTGGGACAAAGCTAAAATCATATGCCACCTATGTGTATTTGACTGTACAGTATATTGTCCTCACTATTATTTGGCATCATTACTGTAAACTTGGTGGATGTGTACAGTATGTGTCAGTCACAATTGTATTTTATTCTTCTTATGAATGTCCCATTGTATCTTTGCCACTTGGACAATTATATACATATATATATATTATAGAATATGCACAGATAGGTAAACACTGGGGTTATCCAACCATGCGCTCACACCTCTCTCAGAGATTGGGGAATGAGTTTAAGTGGTGTAACCAAGTAGGTAGAAATGTTTGAGCGCATAGTTATTTATTTAATAGAACTAAGGAAAGCCCCCACCCCTCACCAAAGGGGGGAGGGGTAGAAAAGCGGTCGCTTATCTATACCTTACAGCCGTAAATCGGAGATTTGCGCTCTTTTTCTACCTCCCTTTGTCTGAGAGAGACTATGCAATGTATGTTAAAACTTGTGTACTGAACCCCTTTTTAATAGCCAGGTTTGCTCCATTTTATAATTTGTCAATGCATAATCAATATTGTTCTTTTACTGGAGTAAAGACAGTTACCCGAGCCATCCTTAATTAGGACACACCGTATGCAATGGGGTACAGCTTCAGTAAAACTCACCTAAACTTGTCACAGCTGTGAGATATACCACCTAACCAGGTATTCTGTACATTGATGACAATAATAAGTATGCACCTCATAAAAGGAATTATAAATTAATCAATAAAAATTAGCTAAGGTTTGGATCGAAGGTGGAATATCATGTTTGGTATCGATGTCATCCTAAATTATGTCCGAATATGAATCCGGGGACGGATTATTACACAATTGAACCTATCCAAAGCTAAATTACTTAATTAAAA